GAAAAGCAGCTAAAACCGTTTTCAACATTGATGATAATAAGAAAATATCTTAGAGTGATTTCTGAAGGATCATGACACTGAAGATTGAAAAATTCAGCTTTGCATCACAGAAATAAATTATATTTTAAAATATATTACAACAGAAACCAGTTAATTGAAACTGTAATAATATTTCACAGTAATGCTATTTTTACTGTATTTTTGATCAAATAAATGCAGCCTTGGTGAGATTAAGAGACTACTTTCAAAAACATCAATGTTTCCAAACTTTTGAGCAGTAGTGTATAATATATAACACTGATATTGACATCTGATCCAAGTTTTGTATTGGTCAGTGTGTGATGTGGCAGTGCCGATGGCTGATAAATCGCGGACACACGTAATACTGTAGTAAACCGATATACTAAAAAAATAAAAATAAAAAAAATTACTGAATTTAAAATAACAACAGTAACATACTAACACCCACGAACACCACTTAACATTTACACAATGGATCCTCTTTATACAAAATTAATCGTGTGCTTCTAATACAACGGCTGAGGGAGTGAAGGCACATTTGAAACGTTCTGTCTCCTGACTGCAATAAATCTCCCCCCAAAACAAACATCTAAGGCCGAACACACTGTCGACGAGGTTGCTGGTAGATTTGTAACTGACATTGCTTTTTTTAACTTTGGACATCCTGAGCTTTGTAACCGTGACAAAACATAATCTAGAACACACATGTCGATGCACACAAGCAATGTTTCAATATTTTGAGACGCAAATTTCACAAAACGTATTAATAAAGCAAAGCATAACATGAACCTGCTGAGGTGATTGACATCTGTTGTGTTGAGTGCAGCATTTTCACTGCTATGGATAAATATGGACTTTCTTCTGTGCCATACACCTGCCATTTACCAAGATCACATGTTTCTCTGTCCATGACTCCAACTCAACTCATCAACTCACACAGAAGGACACCTCGACAATCTACTTCCTCCTCACAGACGTCCACTAAAGCAGAAGCAGAGCTGGCATTCACACTACCAGTGACACAGCATTAGGGGGCGCTAGAGAGTGAGGATCACGTCTTCCCCTCACTGAACTGAAGCATATACAGTACAGCAGCCCAAAAATATTTGGACAATTAAAAATGTTTCAATGTCACTGCATTATTTAATAAAGCATCAAATCAAGCGTCAGTATCTGAGCTTTTCTCAGAGTTGTGCAATACATTTCTTCATTTTCACAACACTATGTTTGATCAAATCCAAAAAAGACATTTTATTTTAAAAAAAAATGTTTTTAGAAATGTCTTCTGTGTAAGCGCTTGACTGAATCCTGTTAATGCTCTAAATGAAAACAGGTAAATAAAATAACTAATTATCTAAATAAATCAACCTCTATATGCTTAATATATGCCTCTATAACTGTTTTTATTTTATTATCCCTCATTGTCTAGCCTGTAGTCCAGTAAATGGACAATTTTTCAAATAAGCCAAAATAGTTAAAAATAAATAAATAAATAAATAAAATAGTATTTTAATTTGTTTCCTCAGTCTTGGAAAACCAGGACAGTGGATTTAAAGTGTATGAATTTCATGACGTGGAAAAGTGTTGGAAAATGTTATAATGGATATGATCATTTTTTAAATATTTTATAAGACAATAGAAATAGCTATTTGTGCATAAAAAAGGATCATTTAAATCACATAAAACTGGAAATATGCAAATGCAATAGTTCATTAAAAGGGTTAAAAAAAATCTATATTTTAATTTAAATTCAACTACTTTGCTGTAATAACAGCTAGAACTATCTTGGATTACGTTAGAGGCTTTGATCGACGACAAAGAAGGCCTTGACGTCAAAAAAATGGAGACGCAAAGTTCTAGACGATGTTTAAAACGTTTTATTTTTAGCACTTCTCGTGTTCATGCCTCCATATAATTAATTGCTTTTTAAATATTTAGGTAAAAGCGTCTGCTAAATGAATAAATGCAAATATTAGCGTGTTTACGCAAGCTGCTTTGATATCGCGTTACACAATGCAATGACATGCACACATTTGTCTGACTGAAGTGTCCAAATATTCTTTGGAGTCACTGTACTATATTCCAAAACACTGTCTGGAAATGTGACACTCCATATGACAGAAAGTCAGCTGAATGCAATAGATTTGGCAATAACAAACACAGTTTTAATGGAAATCCCATCTGTATACGAGCTGCAAACGTAGTAAAGCACAGACTTTCATGCACACCACGTCTGATCATGCAACTAACGCCTACAGTCTCCATAATATTCCCTCAGTCTGTTTTCTGCACTGACCTCTTTAACGTTTTTGGGAAACGATTTAATGTAAATCTGACAGAGTCTGGTTTCTAGAAGTCCATAACTTACAGATAAACTGTATTTAAAGCAACAGTTCACCCAAAAATGAAAATTATCTGGTAGCACTTTATTTTAGAGTCCTGTTCCACATGTACTGGTACTAACCCTGAACCTAAGCCTAAACCTAACTCAAACCCATGCAGTTATTTTATTACCCAGTCCTTTCTTATGGAAGTATTTGGCATTTTCATTTTTTGGGAAACTATTCCTTTAAAACAGGTAACAAGTGTGTGTGTGTATATATATATATATATATATATATACACTACTGGTCAAAAGTTTTAGATCAGTCAAAATTCAAGATTTTTTTATGTTTTTAAATGAAGTCTCTTCTGCTCACCAAGGCTGCTTTATTTAATAAAAAAAAAAAGAAATGACAAACAGTAATATCGTGAAATATTATGACAATTTAAAATGACTGTTTTCTATTTTAACATATTTTAAAATGTAATTTGAAAGCTGAATTTTCAACATCATTACCGTTGCTGATTACACATCAGTTTTAATATCACATGATCCTTCAGAAATCACTCTAATATGCTGATTTTATGCTCAAAAAACAAATTATTATTTTCAATGCTGAAAACAGTCCCCCCTAAATTCTACGATGAATAGAAAGTTCAAAAGAACAGCATTTATTTAAAATATAATCTAACATTATAAATGTCTTTACTGTAACTTTTGATCAATTTAACTCATCCTTGATGAATAAAAGTATTTTCTAATTTCTTTCCCCCAAAAATAAAAAATAAAATTCTTATTGACCCCAAACTTTTGAATGGTTTCCATTTCAGATCAATTCTGTTCTTTTGAACTTTCTATTCATCAAAGAATCCTGAAATAAAAATGTAAAAAACTGTTTTCAACATGGATAATAATCATAAATGTTTCTTGAGCATCATATTATAATAATTTCTGAAGGATCATGTGACACTGAAGACTGGAGTAATGATGCTGCAAATACAGCTTTGATCATAGGAATAAATTACACTTCACTATATATTCACATAGAAAACCGCTGTTTTAAATTGTAATAATATTCCACAATATTACTCTTTTTTTTGTATTTTTATCAAATAATTGCAGCCTTGGAGAGCAGAAGAGACTTATTTTAAAAACATAAAAAAATCTTACTGATCTAAAACTTTTGACCGGTAGTGTGTGTGTGTGTATGTATATTATATATATATATATATATGAAGAGTTCAGATGCAAAAGCCTCTAAATGCCATTTGAAATTTTCTTCTAGAATGATCATTTTTATCAAGCTTGTATATTTAAATTCAGTGATTTCACAAAATGGCAATTAGTGAAATTACTAAACTTAAATATACAAGCTTGGTAAAAATGATGATTTTTAGAAGAAAATTTCAAATGGCATTTAGAGGCTTTTGCATCTGAACTCTTCATAATATATATATATATATATATATATATATAGACTGAAATCAAATAAAACCAAAGGCCTACATCAGTCATACATCACTCTTAGGACCACATGCCTTATGACAAGTTTGACGGCATGGTGATCAGATGTGATGCGTTCATAACGGTCGCATTGAAAAACTTTTGCTGAGAGCTCAGTTAGAATATTATAAACTTACATGTGAAAACAGACGCAAAAGGCATAGCCCGAGGATATCACAGGCAAGTTGCAAACTGCACAAGAAGGTGATGGTCCTGTTCACACATGGTATTAGGATGAGTTTCGGTCGATCGGATCACAAGCGGACGATGCTAAACACAGGTGTAAACGGGTCTAAAACGCTTCGAGCTCGTCCACTTTCAACCACTTCCAGAGTCGGAAACACATTTGACCAAATTGCTTTCGTAGTGTAAACGCTCATGTGATTGAATGCGTTCAAACCGCCACAAAAGACCGTCTACTGAACTAATGCATGGACATTATGGGAAGAGCGCTAGACAGACAGGATTTAAACTTTGTCGGCTGGAGACCCCAGTTTGGTGTAAAGATGAAAAACAAACCAAGCACAATGTTCTCCCACCATTCCTGATTTCTAACACACACTCAGTCTTGGGTCTGTCAGGGCAGAAACGAAAGCTGATGCTCTCTGTGTGTTTTTCAGTCATCTCCAGTCGCGTTCATATGTAAATTTCCCGTAAGTTTATTTTGTCAGTTAGATTGAAAGATCTGAGAAAGCCTATATTTACCCGCCTATAGACCCTCTCCTCAAAGACATCAGGACAGAAGTGGTTGAAAGTGGACAAAAGAGACGGATTAAACACCAGGTGTAAACGGGAATGAGTCTCCCTCGTCTACATGTGATCCGATCGACCAAAACACATCTTAATTCCAGGTGTAAACAGGACAAACACACATATTTACAGCCTATTTATTCATTGCCAAGCTTAAAAGTGAACTACAAAACAAGTATTGTGATTTTTATAGCCCATTGAGGAGTCTTTCAATTAATCCTTGATTCAAAACACTATTTTACACCATCACACATCGACGTTCTGTACACTATCATTGATGATAACTTTTTTTTGTTTAAGTTTAGGGTGGATTTTAGCTCTTAAAGGCAACAGAGATGCAACTTTAAATTGCAGGGCACCAGAAATAAACACATTTTCCTGTCAACATGCTGGTTCATATTACCTGAGGTTTGGTCACATCTTTGGCAGACAGCCGATCGTCTCCATCTTTATCTTCCCCGACATCAGAGCTCTTTTCTTCATCACCGTCCTCCTCTTCCTCATCATCTCCCTCCTCATCTTCATCATCACTGTCACTGCCTGATTCTTCAAGCCCGGAGAAGATGCTCTCCTCACTGTCTGACAGATCAGCCTGATCTTCGTCACCATCATCTAGATGACCATCTTTACCGCCATCCTTATCAAAGATGGGCAGCTGAGAAAAAAAAAAACATGAAAAAGTTTCAGTGTGAGCAGGAAAGCATTAGCAGACCATCACACATTTGCTGTATAACCATATTCACATCACCTAATTTTACTTTGTGATGAAAACCATACATGGATCAATGATTTTCAATGATATGAGAAATATATATTCAGTCATGTGCTTCCCAACTTTAATAATAAACTGCTGTTATCTAATATAACATAAAATATTACACCGTAGTAGGAAGTACAAATAAACAGGGTAGACAAACTAAAATAGAAAGCGCTAAACGTAACGTTACTCCGTAAAGTGTCTATTGGAACTCAATAATGTATTATTTGTCAAATTGTATTATAGAAGAACGCTGGAATTTAATCTCGCGCTGCATAAACACGCGTGTTATCATATAAGCGTCATATATAACAACTGTCTGACTGCTTTAAAGCAACACTACATAAATATAACATCAAATCATACCTGGTCGTCTTCATTCTCCTCTAAATTTCTTTTTTTATTCTTTAATTTAGTCATGGTGCCGCTGTGAGTTGGACGCATGCTGAAACTGCGACCATGTGTTTGAATCGGTGACGTCAAAGGTCAAACGATGACGCGTTCGGTTTATTTCTCATTCCTTTTACATAAAACTTTTTAAAACATCATTAGTTTTGTATTTCCTTCCAACTTGTGTGTTTATTTTAATACAATGCTTTCGATTTGATTGCGTTTAATTATAACCACGTCTGAGGCAAAAGGTTAAAGTTCATCACTGAACACGTGACATCTAAAACCTTTAATTTGGCAAATTAATTATTTTTAGTGCATTAAAAATAATAGAAAGAGAAGTATATTTGTTTTTATTTATGCGTTCAGTATTTATTTATTTTCTAAATTAGTGTGATATTTTAATCAGGCGTCGCAATTGCGTCATCATATCGCGACGCCTCTCAGCGTTCCTTGTTTTCTACGCAGTTTCGTCGCGATGTGGATTTAATGGAAATTTCCACTCCTTCTGAACCAATCATAAACACCTATTCAGATTAAATTATGTTAAATATCGCTCTTTAAACGGGATCCGGACACTCTGAGGGGGAAAGATACTCAAATTCGTGTATTTAAAGAGCGCCGTCTGTGTTCGTTCAGCAACACTTTTAGTTTGTGACTCTGTTGTTCTTCATCAGTGGCTCAGTATAGAGGTTTAATCGTCGTCTGAAATCATCACTAAACTGTCTCTGATGGATTATCACAGTGTGGGCCCTGGAGGGGTGATTGTCTCGGGTAACAACGTACCTGCGTTTCTGACTAAACTCTGGACGCTGGTGGAGGATCCGGACACAGACCCGTTAATCTGCTGGAGTCCTGTGAGTTCTGGTTTTGGGTTTCGGGTGGTTTGGGGAAGGTGTACAGCTCTGGATTATTGTTAGATTCTTTTGAAATGAGCACATTTAGGCCTAAACATGTACGTCTTAAAATATCTTCTGAAATGGTGCCGCAGGATCCTGATTTTAACTGTAGTTTTGCCTTCTATTTATAAATTGCCCTGATGATACTTTGGCTAAAGGGGGCTGAGACAGTTCAGAATGATTCAATTGACATGAGACAGTTTAGACTCTCAAAAGGTGTAAAGCATTGATTTAACTGTATTTTTATCCTGTCTAAATCTGGAGTATTATAAGTGGATTTGCCTGGTGTTTTTGTGTTTTTTAGGATGACTGTCAGGACAGACTGCAGATCTTTACGTCACCGTTTTAATCTCAGAATCTTTTGACATTTTGTAGATCCATCATTAATTTGTTTGTTTACTAAACTCTTCTTAGGCCTGGTCTCACAGACATGGCTTAGAGTAAGCCAGTAGGCCCGAGTTTGTTTAGAAGATTTAAGTAGCTTTTATAAGCATAAATAATAGTATTAGTGAGCATCTTGAGACAAAACAACGGCACTGATATATTTTAAAGATATGTCAATGCAAGTTGCTTTTCAGTTAAAACAGATCAAACATGCGTTTTAGTCTGGAAGTAGGCTCAAAGGGATAGTTCATCCAAAAAAAATGAAAATTCTGCCCTTAATTCCTCGCCCTCATATCACTCTTAATCCATAAGACTTTTGTTCATCTTGGGAACACAAATGAAGATCTTTTTGATGAAATCTGAGAGATTTCTGTTCCTCCATATCACTTTATATGATGATGAATGGATTGAGTTTTTTTTTTCACTTATAAACATTCATCAGAGAGAACAAACCTCTTGCAGAAGCTCAAACGTGCTGCATAACACGAGAATGAACCTCATTGGTTCTCTCTTGTCAAGTGAACATGCTTGAGTTTCCGTTTACCATAACTGATGTGTGAGTTGGTGGATGTTTATAAGTGAATGGAATCCTAAATTAAAGCAACAGTAGCCTAAGAGTTTTTACCTTAAAATAATGTTTTCAAAATTGTTTCAGTGGTTCATCAATTCGTGACATGGTGAAATGCACTTATGACACTGTTTTTCGGTCCTATGTCTGTCTGATATATCAACACTATGTAAGATTGCCAGATCGGGTCACGTTTCTGTAGTGCGAATGAGACCTAAGAAAACTACAAATTTGATTTGCTTTACGGCAAGCGTTACAATTGGCGATAGGTGGAGCGTATTCGACAGCAGACTACAACTACACTTTCCTGAAATCATGCGTCATACTCCACCTTGTCTGTGGCCATTGTTGATTCCAAAGCGGTGCTTGATAAACAGAGATATGTGCGTACAACAGTAGGATACGCTAGGCTAAATTATTTACGACAGCAGTAATGGACAATTCCACTTCCAACCTGTAGGGTGACCGCAGAGGAAAAGTTGCTTGGTGTTGCTTTAAATCTGTTCATCAAATAAAGTGGTCAAGTCTCTACAGAAAATTTGGACTAAACCGCTCAATTCATATGGATTAGTTTTAAGATCTCTTTATGCACTTTTTAAAGGATCAAGTGGTAGTTGCGTAGCTGTCAATGGAGGGCCAGAAATCTCTGATTTGAACAAAAATCCAAAGATGAACAAAAGTCTTACTGGTTGGAACAACATGAGGGCGAGTAATTTCATTTTTGGGTGAACTGTCCTGTCTGTGAAACCCGAAACCAACGGTTTTAATCATTTCTGATGTGTTTTCGGAACGGCACCAGCTTTCATGTGTTCGACCAAGGAAGGTTTTCCAAAGAAGTTTTGCCGAAATACTTTAAGCACAACAACATGGCCAGTTTTGTTCGCCAGCTCAATATGTGTAAGTATACGAGCAGCCCGACAACAGAATCAGTCTGTTTAATCATTTGTACATTTTGACTACATAATAGACCTAATCGACCAAACCAGATGTCATATGCTT